CTTCCCACCCGAATCTTTCAATTCCATGCTCGATTTGCTCTACTTCGCCGGAGATCTGCAGGGGGAGGGTCTCGCGAGAGACGTCCTGTTGCTGGAGAATCAAATCACTATGCTGCTGTTGACGGAGGTTTTGGGGAAGTTCAGCGGCAACGCTGACGGGTCGGTTATTGCTCCGACGGGTAGGGATTTGATTTCCATGTAAGTTGATTTCTGCAGGCGGGTCTCCCCTATGGAATTGGGATTACCCGACCCAGATCCGAAAGATAGTTCCCGAAGCATTTGTTGGATCTCTTCTACCGCCTGCTCGTTGGCGCAAAGGAGAAACCCAAATCAAAATTGGAAGGATACTCCTCCGACAAATTGCGGCGGAGAAGCGTGGAAATTGTGTTGTGAGTCTCCTGCGGAGGGTTCTGGTGTGGATGTGGAGGGTAATTTCAAGAGGGTCTCCTGAAATTTGAAGTGTCGGTTTTGGGGTAATTCAAACTACCTGCGCCGTCTCGCGTTCCCACCGCCGTCTCTGGTTGGTGGGTCTCGAAACCCATGGATTTAGAGGACGCAACGGCGGGGAAGAATCCGATGAAGTTGACGGTAAGTGGTAGGGAAGAATCAGATGTTGGGTCCAAAGGACATAATTGTAATTTAGGCAATTGCTTCATAATTAAATTCTCTAACTAATAAATCTCTCATACCTAAACAAACAATGTATTTAACCCAAATTCTGGCTTTAAAATATCAGATTTTTAATTGAGTGATTGTGAGCCAAATTCCTCATTAACTAAATTCTTAATCCGAACAACCCCTTGGGGGCTAATATGGTTGTTTGTATGTGGGATGGGGCTACTAGGAGTGGATCTCATTCGGCAAGTGGGATGGTTATCATGAACATAGTTAGGGATATTCTTATGGCTAATGTGGTTCAATTTCTGTTTATTGATGACCCTATGGTGGTCCAATTGCTTGTGCTCCGGGAGGCTACTTTATGGTGTCTAGACCACGAGTTCATGGAAATGAGGTTTGAATGTGATGCCAAAGTGATCATCGACAAGATTAACCAAGCATATACCAGCGATAATCGGATGGGGGCTGTTCTTGAAGAAGTTGTGCATTACTTTGCCGTCCACGCTGGGTTTAGTGTTCGATTTGTAGGTCGACATAGTAATAGGGTAGCCCATGTGGTGGCTAAAAATGCTCTTTCTTTGTAACCGACTAGGAGTCGCTTTTTTGATTTCCAGACCTAGCTGAATTCCAGGATTTAACTATCTATTCTGCGGGTTAGATCAGGTCCTTAAGGCCTCTTTTTTAAGGAAAATCTTAAACCCCCTTTAGCCAATAGGAGAAGGAGAGAGAGAGAGAGTGATTAGTAATGATTGGTTAACTACCTACCTAATACGTTAAAGGGTAAGACAGGAATATAGAAAATAATTAAATGATATTATTAATTAAGGAACGAATGGGAGAAATCATTCTCCTTCCAACCCTAAACCTATTCATCCTTCAGAAATCACTGTCAGGGTCGCGCAGCCGGCCGGGCGTTTGCTTTGTGGCGTTTGCTTTGCGTCGTCGTCGTCTCGTTTTCTCGTTTGTCGTCGTCGACTCGCATCTAAGGCCGGTGACGTCTCGGCTGTCGTCGTCTCTCCTTCTCGTCTGCCGTTCGCCGCGTTCGTAGACTACTGGCGCTTGCTTTCCGGCGTCGTCGTCTCGTCTTCTCCTTCGTCGTCATCGACTCGCATCTTAGGCCGGTAACGTCTCGGTTGTCGTCGTCTCGGTTGTCTGCCGTTCGCCGCGTTCATAGACTAAGCTTTTCCATGGAATCGCCAAGACCCGTTATTTTTGGTAAGTTTTTGTTTGCGTTGTTTAATAAAACAGGCCAGAGTTGTTAACAATTTAAGTTAATAACTAGGTGGGGGATAATTAATAATGCCTTCGTTAAATGTTAATATCTGAGGTGTTTAAATTAGTAATAAACTTTGCATGTAATCAGGTCATTACTATTTTTAAACCTATTATCAATATCTTCATACACGATTATTAACTGCTAATACCAATTCATTAATAATACTTGTGTTTGTTGTTAATTATTGAAGTGTTTAAACTAATAATCCACTTTGCACGTAAATTGTTAGTTGTTTTAAATTATTAATTAAAAAAGAACATGGTTAATAATTCAATGTGTTAATAAGTAAAAGTCATTACTCGGGGAGGGATGATTAATAATTCTTGTGGTAGTTGTTAATAATTTGCATGTTTAGGTTAATAGTAAACTTTGCATGTAAAATTTCATTGTCGATTTAGGTTAAGAATCCAAGAAGGGGAGATTAGTAATGATGTTGATGGTTGTTAATAATTAATCCAAGAGGAATATCTTTAGCAGTTAATAAACTTTACATGTAAGCAGGTTATTGCTATTTTTAAACCTATTATCAATATCTTCATACACGATTATTAACTGCTAATACCAATTCATTAATAATACTTGTGTTTGTTGTTAATAATTGAAGTGTTTAAATTAATATTCCACTTTGCACGTAAATTGTTAGTTGTTTTAAATTATTAATTAAAAAGAAAATGGTTAATAATTCAATGTGTTAATAAGTAAAAGTCATTACTCGGAGAGGGATGATTAATAATTCATGTGGTAGTTGTTAATAATTAAAGTGTTTAGGTTAATAATAAACTTTGCATGAAAAATTTCATTGTCGATTAGGTTAAATCCAAGAAGGGAAGATTAGTAATGATGTTGATGGTTGTTAATAATTAATCCGAGAGGAATGATTAATAATTTATTGTTAATTGTTAAAAGTTAAAGTGTTTAGGTTAATAATCGGAGAAGGAAGCTTAATAATGAAGTGGGTAGTTGTAATAATTAAAGGTAATAGTTTTGTTAATTTTTCAACGTTGCAGATCTGAATGAAGTACCTTGTGATGTCAGCTTGGAAGGTGAAGATATTTCCAATAACAATGACTTAAGCGAAGACAAGATTACAGTAGAAAATCTATATGTAGAAGGTGAAGGTTAGTTGACTAATCTTGTATATATGTGGAATGATTAAACTTGTGCTAGTGACGTGATCTGTTCATTGTTGCAGGAGTGGTGGATGATGTTCATATGAATGATGCTAGTGCTATACCTATCATGGACATTCGTGATTTTAATATTGAAGAGTAAACAAGCAATTGCCAGGGAGAAGAGGGCGAAGGAAATGAATAAGACAAAGAAGGACAAGGAAAAGAAGGCTACCAAGAAGGTTTAACCATACATGAGGTGTTTGGACTACACATTAGTGTAGAAGTACATGGTTTGTTGGACTCGATTGCTAGAGGTGTTTGGACTATGCGTTGTTCACCAAACAAAGTTCTATTTGTGAACACAATATTATTATTATTATTATTATTATTATTATGTGGCACTTGTAGCCAGGTATTGTTTTTGCGAAGGCTAGCGTATGATTTTCTTACTAATGATATGATATAGAATTAATAATTATAGTTATTAACATATTCTAAAACTACAGTTATTAAACATTACAGTGGTTAAATAGGTTTTAATTATAGTGTTTTCTATCAATCCAAGCAGTCATACAAAATATTGAGAATAGGTTTAAAAATAGTAATGAATTGGGAAAAAAAGTTAATAATCGTGTTCTAATAATTTGATAATCTATGGTCGTTAATAAAACACTGTTAAATTAACTTCTGATAACCTAACTCATCGAAATTCTAATTGTGTTCTAATAAATCATCGAAATTCAATTAATGAATTGGGAGAAAAAGTTAATAATCGTGTTCTAAAAACACTGATAATCAATGGTCGTTAACAATCGTGTTCAAATAACTTGATAACTAATGATAAGATATTAATAAACATTCAACAAAAATTCTGAACATTGCCAAGTTTGCAAAAACCTACGACATAATCCATTCGGAATCCGAATCATAGAGAAACGAAATTTTTTTGAACATTGCCAAGTTTGCAAAAACTGAAGAAATACTCCTAGCCATATTGGGATCCAAATTGTGAAGCAATCTGTAGTAACTCGTCCCTGTTTACCTGCTCTGTCAAAAAATTATAAAGAACGTCCATAAAATCATTAATAACCCATTCTCCAATAACGATCAATACACAAATAAAATGTTAATAAATAACATAACTTAGTAGTGTTGATAACGATCAATAATAAAAAAACATAACACGAGAAGAATTGATTACGGTGTTCACAAAATTATCACGTTAGCAATGAACATTACAAAAAAAATTACCAATGCAATTAAATAAATTTACATAACACGACAGATTCATTAATAATAGAGAGCAAAAGATTGAGAGCGAGAACATATTGATTAACAATGTTGACCAAAACAGTTTGTAAACGCCCACCGAATGATTAATAATAGATAGCAAAAAGGTTCAGAACGAGCAAAAATTGATTAACAATGGATACAAAAAAAATTAAAAATAAATACTATTGTGCATCGACTAATCCCATGCATCGACGCGACGAAAAAACGTCACAAATACGAAATGAATATTGGAGACGGAAAAATTGACGTGCACAGATGATTAACAACGGACACAAATAATTGACTTGCATGAAAATTTGATTAATAATAGAGTGCAAAAAAGTTGAAAACGAGCACGTATTAATTAATAATAGAGACACAAGACGGTTTCCAAATGCCCACGGAATGATTAATAATGGATGCCAAAAAGTTGAGAACGAGTGACAATGGACAGAAAAAAATTTGTAAACGTCCACGAAATTATTAATAACAGAAACCAAATAAATTAAAAATGGACCTACCATTGTGCAGCGCCTACTCCTCCCATGCAACGACAAAACCCTAATCTCATGCATCGCCAAAACCCTAATCCCATGCAACGCCAAAAAACCTCAAAATAGCGGCCAAAAAAATCGGAGACAAAAAAATACCTTAAAACGCGGCCGCCGAAGACAGACTGAGAGATGAAACGAGAGAGAGGGAGAACTTGAACCGTCGGCCGAATGCTGTGCTTTGCCGACGAAGAAGGGACGATAACTCGAGCGACGTCGGAGAACTCGAATCGAATCGTCGTCACGACGACCGGAGCGGGAGGGAGAACTCGAAGTAGGCAGTCGGCAACAACGGCTGATGGACTAGGTACGGAGAAGGGACGACCGACGACGAAGAACACAATGACGAACCGGAGAACAACGGCAACAACTGCTGATGAACTCGTAGGTACGGAGAAGGGACGACGACGGAGAACTCGTGCTTTGACGGAGAAGGGACGACGGAGAACTCGTGCTTTGACGGAGAAGTTGGGACGACGTGGCCTGGGACGACGGAGAAGTTGAGACGACGAAGGAATAATAAACAGATGAATACCGTCGGGTTAGGGTTTTATTAAAAAAAAATTAGGCATGTTTTAATTTAATTGTATTCTCCTTAATACCCTTAACAACTTTTTAACTAATAACTCCCTACTAACTACCTAATCTTGAATTAGCCAACCAGAAGACTTTAAGTTCTTCCTTAAAAAAGAGGCCTTAAAGACCAGAACTTAGGCCTCTATTATGTGAATCAATATATGATTATCTTGTGTTAACTCCCTGAAGTACTTATGTTTTGTGTTAGATGAGTTCTGTAGGGTTTTAGAAACTATTGATAGTTGATCATGATAGTTGGTTCGATCTCGTCTGAGACAAATATATTCTAATATAATTTCTGAGATTACAATACATTGTGCTCTTTCATAAGTTTGAATGTGTTTTGCATGAACCACGTAAAGCAACTAATCGTGCCAAAAACACGGTTGTTGCTAGAATAACTATTTAAGTTTTCTCACGTGGCAAATAATTTTTAGATTATACTTACGGCAGCAGAATGGACCTCGTGATTTATTATTTATTTATTTTTGTTGCTGATTTGGGGCATTCTTGGGCCGTTGATTGAAATTAAACGGTGATGTGAAACATCACCAATTTCACCAAGCATGATTGCGAGGTGTGGGAGAAAAAAGACAGACAAATGTTTGTTAGCAGCTTAGGTTGTTCTCTTCTCCCCTCTCTCATCTTCCTTCTCAATAATTGCGATCTAGTAGGTTATAGAACTTTTCATTAACCTTTGTACAATGGCGATGTACAGATATCAGATTGGTTGTAATAACGATTTTATCTAAAAACGAAAAATAGATAAAATCGTAAAGCGTAGAATTAAAGATAAAAATCGTAATTTTTTACGAATGCTGTAAAATAACTAAAAATCTGTTAAGTACGACATATACTATGTAAAATATGAGTGCACAAAATTTAGATAAGTTAATAAATACATAAAATTCATGCCTAAAGTAGAGCAACTTATAGTCTCTTAATAATAAGTTCATAAACATAAATCTTAACAATAAGCCACATTCTACTCTATACTAATGAATTTGGGAAGAGTCTAGCTGGTGAATTAAATTACTATATTGAAGTTGAGAATGCATCCAAGTACTTATTATGTATCTTTTAATCTCAAATATATCATACTGTTGGTGATTTACCTTTAAAATATACTTTTATAATTAATTTCATGAAAAGAATACCCATTTAGTGGACTAAAAGCGTAAAAGTGTAAAGCATTTTGGTGAACTCAAATCGTATGTTCTTAAGTTGTAAAGAAACTTTTAGTTTAATTTTACACACCAAATTTTTTATATGAAAACGAAAACATTTTGGTGACATGGAAGCGTAAAACCATAAACTTTTAAGTTTTAAAACGTGATTTTGACTAAATTGGATGTAAGTATAATTACTTAATATTTATCAAGATAAACTTATGCTATGTGTTCGATCTGACGATATTTTTTATTTATTTTAGATAGTGAAATATCAAATGCAAATTAAATAATTATTATTGTGAAAAATCTTGCGCAATGTGATTGATAAACTATTATCATACATATATGAAAATTTTGGTTCTTTGACAAAATTTCAAACATTTTATTAATACTTATGAAAATGTTGGTAAGTCAAAATGGCCCAGATTTTTTTTTATACAGAAACGTGTTACATGAGTGCTACTATAGGGATGGGGTATCAGTGTCGTTCCCAAGTTTCAAACCTAAGGACTTCAGGGTGAAACTAGCGGTACGACCACTCGATCACAAACTCGTTTGGTCAAACTGAAATCCTTTAGTAAAAGGTATATGATACACGATTGAACCTCTCCCAACAACTCGAGTTATTGGGACCAACTAGTTCTCGACATGGTATCAGAGCCTATTCGGATCTTGGGTTTTGCTTCGCTGAGCTTGGCTTTTCTGATCACCTGTTTTCTGGATATTCTGCGGGCTCTTTGGTTGCTTGTTCTCCGTCCATTCTTTGGCTTTTTGGGCGGCGCATTGGGGTTTTCTGCAGGATCCATGTTCTGGGTTTTCTTATGGACGCTTCTCGTGTTGCTGGTATCCCGCTCTCATTCCTATCTACGGGTTTTGGTCTTGGCGGTGTTTTTTTGGTGCTGCCTTTCTTATGCGTTTTAGTCCTGCGTGTCCAGGTTGGTGGTTCTTGCTTTTTGTCCTTGGTTTTCTTTGTGTTCCTCATCATGGATGCCTCAAATCCTGATACGGTTGCCGTTCGGTTTAATGGAAAGAACTTTGCACTTTGGGAGCTACAATTTTCGCTCTTTGTTCAAGGGTACCGCCTCGGTGGGATCCTTGATGGGTCTATGGCTGCTATCGCGGCAGAAGCTCCTGCGAAGGATAAGGAGGACTGGAATGTCCATAATGCACATGTTATGTTGTGGCTCCTCTCTTCCGTTGAGCCACAAATTTACTTGAGCTTGCGGGGCTTTGCTACTGCCCGAGAGATATGGCAGCACCTTTCGGCGGTTCATTCGCAGTCTAGTCCATTCTGGAAATTTTAAATTGATTTCGTTCTGGCTAGGCTGCATCAAGGCGATCTTGACGTTCGCTCCTACTATCAGGCTGCAGTGAGTTTGTGGAGGAAACAAGATCTTCTTACCTCCTCCTTGGTCTCATCGGCTGCTTCGCCGGAGGCCCTACAGGCACGGACCAGTTCCCGGATGATGCATTTTCTTATGAAGCTTCGTTGCGCATTTGATGGTATTCGTGCTTCCTTGTTGCATCGCAACATTACCAAGATGGAGGATATTTTAGGGGAGCTTGTGCGGGAGGAGACATGGTTGAGGAGCCTGGCGAAACTTGATGTTCACAAAGCTCACTCCGCCTCTGCTTTTGCTATTGCGTCATCTCAGTCGGTCGAAATTAGCCTGCATGCGAGACATCTATTTATGCTGCTGGCCAAGATCGGCCCCATTTCCACCAGACTCCAAGTGGGGAGATTGTTTGTTTTTTCTGCAAGGAACCAGGGCACATTCGGTCTCAATGCCCCAAGAAGACCTCGTGCAACTACTGATAGGCTTATGGTCATAAAATTGGTGACTATCCTATTCTGGAGAAGCGTGGTCGTGCTCATCCTTCTGGCTCTAGTTCATCTGGTTCCTCGCATCTTGCCTCCTCAAGTCGAGCCTATGCGACTGCAGTTGTCCCACCTTCAGCCACTTCCTCTTCCTCGTCGAGTGGAGTCTCTCCTGAGTACATGCGGCAACTGGTTCAAGATGTTATTCGGGAGGCTCTGCCTTCTGCTTTAGGCTCGATTTTCACAGCTGGAATGCACTCTTGCTCTCCCTCCTAGCATCTAGATTCTATGGCTTTTAATCACATGACTAGTTCTCGTTCCTCGTTTCATACTCTTCGTCCCAACTCCTCTATTATGCTACAAGTGGCTGATGGTACATCTTTACCGGCTGAGGGTATTGGTGATGTTAGTCACCATGGGTTGCAGCTTTCTGATACATTATATGTACCTCGGCTCGTTCCCAATCTTGTGTTCGTGGGACAACTGACTATGGTTCATTCTGATCCGTTCGATCTAGTTCACACAGATTTGTGGAGTCCGTCACCTGTGACTTCTCGGGTTGTTTTTAGTTATTTTTCTCTGTTTGTGGATCATGCTACTCGGTATGCAAGGGTTTATTTTCTCCTTCGCAAGTCGGACCTGCTCGTGGCAGCTAAGGAATTTCTGGCTATGGTCAAAACGCAGTTTGGGAGGGTGGTGAAAGTCATAAGATCTGATCCTTGTGGGGAGTTCATTTCTGGTCCCTTGCATGATGTGTTCAAAGAATATGGCATTTTACCTCAACATTCTTGTCCGGGTGTCTCTTAACAAAATGAACTGGTTGAGCGTAAGCATCGCCATGTTCTTGAGCTTACTCGTGCTCTTTTTTTTCACTCATCTGTGCCATATGGATTTTGGGTTGAAGCTATTCATGCGGTCGTTTACTTAATCAATCGTCAGCTTACGCCAGTTCTTGCTAATCGGAGTCCTTATGAGTTTTTGTATGGTTAACAACCGGATTATATTCGGTTACGTGTGTATGGATGTGTCTGCTATGTTCTCCTCCCTAGTCATGAGAGCCACAAGCTGGCTCCTAAAATGATCAAGTGTGTTTTTGTGGGTTACAGCAACAAGCATAAGGGTTATGTCTGCTATTATGTTCAGAATCGGCGTATTTGTATATCTTGTCCCATTTTTTTTTGGAACACCATTCGTATTATGTGGCTGTTGTCTCAGCTCCACAGACTGATTAGGAGTTTCTTAACTCCTTGTCATTGTCCCAGCTATTCCTACCGCAGAGGTACATGAAATTAACCCCCCTTCTCCTGCCCCCACGTTACAGCCCATGCAGCTGGACATGTCGCCCTCCACGTCGGCTATAGGTGAGGGATCCTTCATTCCGTCTGCCACCAATTCTGCATCTAGTCAATTTGATTCCTCTACTGGCCACTTGTTTGTGCCCTCCCCTCATGCATCTTCGACAGCCTCGTCGTCCATTGACCATGAAACAGAGGTGGACCTTGATCTTCATCTTGCGCAAGAGGATGAGCCCCCTCCTCTCCGTCGTTCACTATGCTCCATTAAAGGTCAACCTCCTCCTCACATGTATGACTTTGTTGCTTTCTCATATGCTCCGATACCGATACCAGCCACCTACAAGCAAGCTCATGGCAATCCTAACTGGGATAATGCTATGACTACCAAAATCGGCGCTCTTGAAGCTACTCATACATGGGATGTGGTCCCTCGTCCTCTTAATGTTCCAGTTATCGGTATGAATGGGTTTACAATGTTAAGTTGCACCCAGATGGTTCTCTTGAACGTTTTAAAGCACGCATGGTTGCACAGGGATTTCTACAGGAGTTTGGTATTGATTATGAGGAGACTTTTGCTCCAGTGGCAAAGATGCAGACTGTGCATGTTGTTTGTTGTGGCTACCATGCGTGGTTGGAGTCTGCAACAGCTTGATGTGAAGAATTCATTTCTTCATGGGGATTGAAGAAAATGATCTATATGGAGTGTCCTCCTGGTTACATGTCTGGTGAAAAATCTAAGGTTTGTTTGCTTCGTCGGTCCCTCTATGGTTTGAAACAAGCTCATCGAGCGTGGTTCGAGAAGTTCCATGATACTATTTTGTCGGCAGGGTTCAGTCAGAGTAATAATGATCCTTCCTTGTTCCTTCGACGGTCTTCCCGTGGTCTCATAGTCTTGTTGATTTATGTTGATGACATGGTGGTGAATGGGGATGACACTGCAGGTGTTCAGTCACTCATTCATACCTTGCGTACAAATTTTAATTTGACGGAACTTGGGGGTGTTTCTTACTTTTTGGGTCTGGAGATTCATCGGTCCGCCGTTTGGCTGCTCGTTAGTTAGCAGAAATATATTTATGATCTTCTTGAGATGGCTCACATGGATGCCTGCGATCCGGTTGCCACACCTATGAAGCAGAATTTGAAGCTGCGACAGGATGTTCGAGATTTAATTCCGGATGGCTCTACTTAACGCAACTTGGTTGGCAATCTGATTTATCTCACTCATACTCACCCAGATATTTCTTATGCAGTACAGGTTGTCAGCCAGTTTATGTAAGCTCCTCGACTACTCACTTGGTTGATGTTAATCGGAGTTTGTGCTATTTACGTGGTACTTCGGATGTTGGGTTGTTCTTTCCAACTATGGGGGATCCAGTGGTTCTTGACATGGTATCAGAGCCTTCTGCGATCGAAAGGTCTTGTGTTCGAATTCCGGTGACCCCGTTTGTGAAGCACATGCATTCTCGTGTTCAGGACATGTGCAAACGAAAGCGCTTATGAGGTGACTGGCTATCGTTAGACGGGGTGTGTTAGTGAACGTTATATGATGCACGATTGAATCTTTTTCAACAATTCGAGTTATTGGGACTAACTGATTTTTGACAAAATCAACAAATACTCAACCTGCAACGAAATGTAATCCGAGATCTCCCAAATTGAAGTATGATCCAACCCGACCGGCCAATTGACAAGTCTATTTAAAATGTACTATTTTTGCCCCGAATATGCATTTTCTTTAACGAAAAATAAATTTATTGGACGCGAACTTATAACAAAGTATAAAATATTCATAAAAAAGGCACACAATTATTAATTATACGAGAAGAGGACAAACGCGAATCTCACCACCTGTTTTCCTCATCGTACGTTCTCTCTCTCATCCTCTCGTTTATAATCCAACCACCACTTCCCCCGCCCCACACAATCATTTATCACACTCTCCCCAAACTACCAAAAGAAAAAACTCCACCGCCAGCCACCGCCGAACTTCCGCTCCTCCCTCCACCGTCATGGCGGCGATGATGACGATGAAAATGATGACCATATCCCCCTTTCCCGGCCACGGCCGCAGGCCCCGTCCGCCGTCATCATCGTCATCATCCGTACCCGGTTCCACCTCCACCTCCATCTCCACGTCCACCACCCCCACCGCCGCGCCGCCGCCGCAGCCGATCCCGGGATCGCACGGGTGGCCGGTGGTGGGGCCGATGACTGACAGGCTGGACTACTTCTGGTTCCAAGGGCCCGACGAGTTCTTCAGGAAGCGGATGGAGAAGTACGGGTCGGCGGTGTTCCGTACGAACGTGCCGCCGAGCTTCCCGTTCTTCAGCGTCGGGGTGAACCCGAACGTGGTGGCGGTGCTGGACTGCAAGTCGTTCGCCCACATGTTCGACGCGGAGGTCGCCGACAAGAGGGACGTCCTCGTCGGCGACTTCATGCCCAGCGTGGCGTTCACCGGCAACGTCAGGACCTGCGCCTATCTCGACACTTCCGAGCCCAAGCATGGTCAGGTAATTGCAAGGTTGTCAAACCGGTTTATACCGTTGTGCCGGTTTGGCAAGTGGAATGGTACAACTGGTGGTATAATCAGTTTGTGCCGGTTCATGCCGGTTTAAAAAAATATGAAAATAATTAATATCCAATATATTTAATCATATATAAAACATATTTGTGGACAATTTAGTTACAATCCAACAAATATCATCATCTTTTAATTATTATATTCTAAAATGAATAATAAATAAATTTTTTAATTTATTAAATTTATTAAAATGATGTCATTAAACTTAGAATGCGTAAGTCGATCATACCGGTGGTGTCATGCTGATTTCATGATCGGCACAGGTTGAACCAGGTTCAACCGGATGGCATTTAACCGGCATGACAACTATTACCGTAATTGTACTACAGAGAATTGTCAGGAAAATACAGGTTCCCATAAAAAAAATTTCAGGAAAAAACTACGTGAGTACTGAGTTGTCACTCTTAATAAAAACAATTCAACAACCCAAGTACTATTTTTTTTTCCAAAACGAATTTAACTTTGAAACTTGGATGAGATCCATAATTTTAGTGATCAAATGTATGATGGCTATCAAAGACGTGAAAAGAAAGAAAAATGCATTGACTTTCAAATGAAATTTTCTTTTTAAAGTTAAAGTAAATAGGTAAAGTAAAACGTACCTTTTTTTTTTAAATTACAGAACTCGAGTCTAGGTTGGGCAAAGAAGTTGATAAATGAAAGCGGTCAATATTATAACGAGTTAGTAACAAATGTGAGAAATATAGCTGGTTGCAATTAGTGGGACTAATTGGTTTCTAATATAGTATTAGAGTCTTTCATAATCGAGATGTCTTTTTTTTTTTTGAATGTGGTAGTTCTTATTTGTTAAGCATATGATATCGAATTTGTGCAAACTTCAAATTCATATGTATTGACCTTTGTTTGAAGGAATCTCTCCCACTATCTTGAAGGAATTAATTGGGTCTTAAAATGAGTTCAACTGTATAGTTAGTAAAATTTGTCTTATTATTTCTAATTGTAATGATTCATCTCCATTTAATTGAGATTATTTTTTTTTATCTCCTTTAAGTACGCCATTGAAACATAGCTAACTTAACTTTAATTAGCTAGTGTATGCTAAATCTCAAGAAAGCACCTCATACTAGGATTTTGTATGTACACATGCATTCCAGATATCATGAACGAGCTATTTGAAACTTTTAGTATTACATAGTACTAGAATGGTTTAACAATGATTTTATATTTTTGAAAAAATTGAAATCATGATTGTCTGCAGATATTTTAGAAGATGATTTGAGTGAATAGTTTTTTTTTCTTTCTAAAATTAGTCTTAAGAAAAAAATTTGATTTGTTTTTGTTTAATATGGATGAATGATACTTGTCCAGAAGGAAACTCGTGCAGCGATGCACATGCTGTACTAGGAGGACCACTCTGCCATCCGTAGGTTACACTAGGTAACACGTCGTACTCACCCGAATAATCTATTGATTTTGTCATAACCCCAATAGCTTTCTATTAACTTAGTTTGATCAATTTCAGAACAGTGATTAGTGGCATAATAATATATAAATAGTTCGGTAGGCTTTCAGATTTCGGTAATTATTATAATAGTTAAAAAATAAAAATGATTTCTACACTTGTCGATGGTCCCTCCTTTCACCTTCACCTCGCCGGTGACTTTCCCGGTTTTGCTGGACGACATAGAAAAGAAACCATTTGTCGACCTATTATATGGCTAGTGGTACGTTTAGAGTTTCGTTTTTATTTTATTTCTGTTTTAAAAAAAGAAACTTGGACCACGACCAACAACGATTGCGCTTGATCGCGCCACAATTAAAAAATTTGGGCATACTCATTCACTCGCATCCCTGTCAAATCACATATCCGCCGATTCTAATGTTGATTCTAACGAGGTGATGTATATGTACTGATGGAACCGAAAAAGCAAAATCAAGGGTCTTAGAGTTGTGTTATTCTGAAATTTTAGTATACGGAGGGGATAAAATAAGATGACATGTAAGCAGTTGTGTAGTCAGGATCTGATACAAGAGGTTTGAGTTTAAAAATATGTTAGGACCAATTCATACTTTGAAAAGGTTAGCTATCAAAAATTTTATTTGTAAAGTTTCATAAAAAAAAGATAATTTATTATATCATCACTTATTCGACTTAAAATATTGAGAATTTTTTTAGGAAAGGTCAATAACGAGAGAATTAAAATTTACTTGTGTGGTTGTTAATTTAAGATTAATTAGTCTTTGGTGAAGTTTTAATAAATTTTCAGTTTTTATTGTAAGTTGATAAAAAATATTAAATTTTTCTCAAAAAAACTAACTCGAGGGTGCAATTGAGTACTTATTTCCAAGGATTGAAAAATCGTGCCGTATCGGCGATTTAATAGAAAAAAATATTACCGGAAGTGAAATCGGTAGGCGGTGTTTAATGGTATGAAACAATTGACCACGATTTTAGCATAAAATACTTTGTCGCTTACTTTTCCGATATAACCTCCGGTACCATTTTTCAATCCTTGCTTATTTATATTCTAAATGAGTTATATTTTCAAGTGTATATGTTTTTTCTTGTTGAAATGGCCTTCAAGGGGTGCCATGGAACCCCTTCATCCAGCTCCGCCCCTGTACATGAATTAATGTGGGGTCGGCATAGGTATGAGAACTAAAGGTTCGTTTAGTTTTGGTGATAGTTTGGTTGGGATAGTTACGATGCATGTAATGTCCAAAATGTTTCATTTTTTTGAATTTTCTGCACAAATAATACATGCATTGTTTGCTTGATGTGACACAAACTATCACTCAAAATGAGTTATAGTTAAATATCAAGTTTTTGTTGAGATTGTTTGATTGAGATTGTTGTATATTTTTTTTTCTTCCAACTATGTCCCTACCTTTTTATGTGTTGGTTTTTTATACTAAATACAAAGGGTAACAATGAGATTTTGCCCAAAAAGTAATATAATTTATTTAAACGTACACTACAATAACTATCACAGAAACCAAACGATGTAAACTACAATACACCAATTTTCTTATATACATGTATATTATTATTATTATTATTATTATGCATACATTGATAACAATACATTGATTTAACTATCATCAAAACCAAACTACCTCATGGATAGGGTGAGGACACCTAAACTTGTCCCAACCGATCCCCACAATCCTCTTTATGCAGGTATTTCCCATACCCAATCCATAGCCGATCAATACGAATATTCATCTCGTTGACTGAATTAAAAGAGTAAGATATATTCAAATACAAGTAGAATTATCATGCCTACGAGTCCTTAATCAAGACACACCAGAAAGAGAAAAGAAGAATATGTGACACAAACATAAAGTGACAAGGAGAACACTACATGCCACTCTTAGACAATAAGCCTATTGTCACGTAGGATTAGTGGTCCAAAGTTACAATTCAGCATACGAAGCATAACTATTTACAATGATATAATTATAAATATCTCAAAATGCTTCTACGTGCCTCAAATTTGACCCTTCAGTTAAATATTTTCTTATTTGCTATCCGAATAATTCCAACCAGAAAAATAAAATCCAATTTACTCACCAATATTTAACAATATTTGGGTATTAGCTTTAATATTTTGAATGGTAATTTTAGGTTAACATTTTTTTTTTTTTTACAAATTGTAACAATTACAAAGTATATAATTTTCCAACCAAACATAACTTATATTTGAAACTGATCTTCATATTAGTAAAAATTATTTTACTAGAAATAATCAAAAAGTATTAATGAAAATAATTGAAAATTTTCTTTGAAAATAATTGGAAAGTATTGGGATTCATAAAAAAAACAAAATAAAGAAAGGTTAGCATTGGGTATATGAAAAAATGGAGGATTAAAATTGAAAACTACGGACGAAAAAATGAGTCATTTTATTCTTGCGATACGTTATTAACACTAAAATTAGAATTTTTGGAGTTTGAACTTCGGTGTCACAGCGATTCGACCAAACCCATGTTGACCATCACAAATTTAGACAAGCTTCATCTAGCGGTATGAATTTTCAAGGATTGGAGTGGCTTCAATATACATTAATATATTCTAGAAATGACAAGAAATAATCCTTTTTAACAAAATGATCCCCTCATTCTTGCAGTTAATCAAGAATCGTTACGATTATTTATATTTTATATATGTTTGTGTAATTATATTATTGCAGATAAAAAAGTTTGCGATGGACATCCTGAAGCGGAGCTCCAAGGTGTGGATATCGGAGCTGCAGTCCAACCTGGACGAGATGTGGACGACGGTGGAAGCCGACTTGTCATCCAAGGGCACCGCCAGCTTCTTCCTCCCGCTCCAGCAGTGTCTCTTCAAGTTCCTCACCAAGTCCATCGTCGGCGCTGACGTGTCGGCGTCGCCGGACATCGCCAAGTCGGGGCCCACCATCATCGGCGCCTGGCTCGCCTTCCAGCTCCTCCCTACAGTATGCATCAACGTCGCCCAGCCACTGGAGGAAATTTTCCTTCACACTTTTCCTTATCCTTCTTTCCTCGTCAGCGGCGGTTACAACAAGCTCGCGGATTTCATCAAGTCACAAGGTAGGTACACCGTAAATTCCTCACTCTCTTCCTTACGGTGTCGTTTGATTGTTAGTATACAAAATTATTGTTATAGTTCTTAAGATGATAATTTCTACCTGATCCATTTTACTTATTCTGTTGATGGATTTTGGGATGGGACGAACATGAGTACTCTACTCAGTGGCGGAGGGAGGTAAGAAGGAGAGGGGTCCTAGGACCCCACTTGGCAAATAATTGGGCAACAAAACCCTTTAAATACATAGGTTAACTCAAGTTTAGGACCTCATACTCTCAACGATGTTAGCTCACCAAGGACCCCGGTTAACTCAAAACTCATTAGGTACACAAGCATTTATGTTAGTAAAATTTTAAGGACCCCAGTGAGCTCGATGTCTGGCTACGCCACTGACTCTACTCATTCTATTCTTGATCTGTTTTGTCTAAGTTATATGCAATTTTATTCGAATTACTCAGAGATATTACTTTTATTATATAATATTTTAGCAATAATAAAGTTGTACATACATGATACCTTCAATTTGTCGAATAATTTACTATATTTACCATGTCATAGTTTATTTCTTGATCTATTTATTAAAAAGTCAATGTTTCAAGAGTTCTCCTTTTAAAATACATACATGTACGAGTTGATCTATCCCAATCCGTATCCCAAAATAAAATACTCGGACTTAAAATCAGCCTGTCACCAATTAACCTGCCTACTGTCATTTTGTTGTTGTCGTTTTGTTGTCATGGTGTATTGGTGTTAGTCCTCCAAGGTGGGATATTATATTTTACTAACCATTCTGTCATGGTCACCAGGACAAGAGGTGGTCCAACTGGGCGTGACTCAATACGGACTCAGCGAGGACGAAGTGGTTCACAACTTGCTCTTCATCCTGGGCTTTAACGCCTTCGGTGGCTTCTCCATCTTTCTTCCCAGTCTATTCGGCCGGTTACTCAGCGATAAAACCGGTTTACAAGACCGGCTCCGAGTCGAGGCCAGGGAAAATGGAGGACCAAACCTAACATTCGACTCTGTCAAGCAAATGCCCCTCGTCCAATCCGTCGTCTACGAGACCCTCCGGCTCAGCCCGCCGGTCCCAACCCAGTTCGCCCGAGCCAGGAAGGACTTCACGCTCAGCTCGAACGACGCGTCGTACGAGATCAAGAAGGGCGAGCTGCTGTGCGGGTTCCAGCCGCTAGTGATGCGGGACCCGACGGTCTTCGACGACCCGGAGACGTTCAAACCGGACCGGTTCGTGGGCGAGAAGGGGGCCGAGCTGCTGAACTACCTGTACTGGTCGAACGGTCCGCAGAGCGGTTCGCCCAGCGAGCACAACAAGCAGTGCGCGGGGAAAGACTACGTGACGCTCACGGCGGCGCTGATCGTGGCGCACATGTTGCGGCGGTACGATTCGGTCGGTGGCGAAGGTTTGAATATCACGGCGCCGCTTGAAAAGGCCAAGTGACGGCCGACGGGGGTATTGATCAATATCCACGGTTGTGATTGGATGCAGTAAGATGGATGCAGGGAGAATATTGTGTATGTAAAGGAAATAAACCTGAACTGCTAGGCTGGTATGGTTTGAGTATGCAATAACGAAAGCCGCACGTATACATATGCTGAATTAGTAGGGGCAGTGGCGTAGCCATATTTTAAACCGATGGAGGTCCTTACAAAAATAATTAATGGACATGGGCCAGCATTCACAAACCAAGCCCAATCGTGACACACACAACAAGCTTGGAGCTGCGGCCCACTCATGTTGTTTATTCACTTGTCCCTGTACTTTTACCCTAGATGACAGTAGAGAAGGGTAAAATAATGATGTATGGCCGCAGGCCATAATCAAGTAATCAATAATACAAATTCAGCCTGGAGAGCAAGAGCTCTCCCGTGGACTAGTCCCGTCAATCAGGGATACCACGTAAATCATCGTGTCGTTCTATCGTTTTATCATATTTCTCATGGTATCAGAGCTGTGATCACGGTTCAGATCATAGCGGTTCAATGGCAGGCGAAGACTCTTGTGTTGAGACGTCAACCACGTCGAAGTCACCCAATTCTGGCTCGGCGGACAAGGCGATCGATCTGCACAGCCCCTATTTTATTCCTCAGTCTGACAGCACAGGCCACCTTCATGTAAGTAGCCTGTTGACTCCATCCAATTATAGTGAATGGATTCTTGAGATGCAAGATGCGTTGGTCAACAAAAACAAGTTGGGATTTGTGGATGGCACAATCCCTTGTCTCCAAAGCAACACACCTCTGTTCCAAGCTTGGGCACGTTGTGATGCCCTTGTCAAGGGCTAGTTATGGACAGCCATGAATCCCGAACTCCGTAGCAGCGTCATGCACGCGAAATCGGCGGAGGAAATATGGCAGGATCTACGGGATCGCTTCAGCAAAGGGAATCTGACGAGGGCATACGAACTCCGTCGGCATGTCAGTTTACTTCAGCAAGAGAAACAGTCAGTTTCTGGATTTTACACTAATCTGCGGAGGATATGGGAAGAAACTCAATCCATCTTGCCGCCACCAATCTGTGTTTGCGGCCGCCGATGTCGCGACCAGTTTGAAAGTTTGAGGCTCCTCGACTTTCTCTTGGGTCTCGATGACTCTTTTGCAACTGTTCGGAGCCAAATTCTCTCCATGGCCAGTCCTCCGTCGCTACCTGAGGCATTTCGGATCGTCTATAATGACGAACAACAACGAACGCTGACGCAGAACCGGAAACCTGTACCTGAGGCTGCTGCCTTCGCCACCCATGGAGACGCAGACAAGCCTTCCCTCACTGGCCGCAATTCTCGTGATCGCGGGGCTGGCGATCGCGATCGTGGGATGGGTGCACGTGAGAAGCTTCTCTGCACGCATTGCCTTAAACCCGGCCACCTCAAGGAATCGTGCTATGCGCTAATTGGCTGGCCGACACGGGATCGTGACAAGCAGCCCGACCGACCAGATCGTAGGCGCAACAAAGAATCGGGCCGTGACAGTGGCCCTTCCCGCTCCCGGAGTCATGATCCGCGGGCTGCCTTGGCTGAAGCTGAAAAGAGTCCCATTCCAGGCTTCTCGATGCAACAGCTAGAATTATTAAAACAATATTTTGGTGGACAATCCTTTGGGAGCACTGATCCCTCAAGCCATATGGCGGGTACGTATACTCTTCTTGATCGTACTGAATAGTTAATTGACTCCGGTTGCAACGAGCATATAACCATGGATGAATCTCTTTTGTTTTCTCGAGAACTAAGTGTTCCTAGTCAGCCCGTTCGCATACCAAACGGGGCTAGCATTCCGGTTCGCCGTGTGGGTTTTATTCGACTGGATGACGGGATGGTTCTTAATCGGGTTTTATGTGTCCCAGAGTTTCGCTGCAATCTATTGTCAGTAAGCAAGTTATGCCAGGAACATCGGGTTGCTTTAATATTCCTTGGTGATTTTTTATATTATACAGGACTTACACTCCAGGAACGTGATTGGGAAGGGGGAGATCCGTGATGGCCTCTACTTCCTACGCTTATCTGGCTGTCAGCAGGTTAAAGCGAATGCAGTCACCAAGGAAACAAGTCTGCCTCGAGTTCCTTGGCACGCACGTTTGGGTCATCCTTCGTCCTCAGTTATGGTTAAACTGCAGCATGTTATTCCTGATTTTATGGCATTAAACACTGATCTTTGCCACTCTTGTTCTCGTGCTAAACAAGTTCGGACGCCATTTCCTGTTAGTGGGATTCTTACTTCTTCCTGTTTTGAGATGTTACATCTGGATATTTGGGGTGGTTACAGCACACCTTCGCTTAGTGGTGCGCACTATTTTTTTGACTATTGTTGATGACTTTAGTCATGGCGTATGAGTTTATCTCCTTCGTTTTAAATCGGAGGTTGGTCGATATCTACGTATGTTCTGCAATCTTGTTAGCACTCAATTTGGTAAACAGGTCCGTCGGATCCAGACCGATAATGGTCTGAAGTTTAACACTTCATCACTATGTGAGTTCTATGAACAGGCTGGGATTCTCCTCCAGACCTCTTGCACTGACACACCGCAGCAGAACGGGGTAGTGGAAAGGAAGCATCGTCATCTCCTTGAGACGGCACGAGCACTCCGTTTTCAGGCGTCCTTACCCATTCGCTTCTGGGGTGAATGCGTTCTCACTGCAACCTACTTGATAAATCGCCTTCCCACTACCACCATGGGACGGACTCCTTATGAGGTTTTGTTTGAGAAGCCAGCCAGTTACTCTCATCTCCGGGTTTTTGGTTGTTTAGTTTACTGCAAAGATACGCGTGGTCACTTGGGAAAGTTTGACGAACGTGGCCGCGCCTGCATCTTTCTCGGCTATGCGGCTAGTCAAAAAGGTTATCGAGCTTATGATATGGCTGCTCGGCGGATCATCACCAGTCGTGATGTTGTTTTTCACGAAGCTATTTTCCCCTTCCAATCAGGTACATCACAGCAGTTGCACTGGATACCTGGGGATGTTTTTCATCGCTCTATCGGGGACTTGGACGATGACCTCCTCCAGGCTGCCCCAGCACACCCGAATGGACTTCCAGCTTCTACAACCCGTGTTCCAGGGCCCTCATCTTCGGCCCCTCCTGAGCCTAGTGATTTTGGGCCGCCGCAAAACCAGTCCACTTCGTTTCCTCCTTTGGTCTCTCCCGGTGAGCCTGCGTTCTCTCCCAGCCCAGTCGCTGCCGAGCACTCACCCTCGGCTCCACAGTCGCCCTCACCGACTCGGCCCAGTCCTTGCAGCCCAGCCGAGAGTTTTTCCTCGGCTCATCGATCACCCCCCTCCGTTCGGCCCAGTCCGATTGACCAACTGGAGCCCAATGGACCTGGGCACCTGTCTGCTGGCCATCAGCCCTCCCCGGTTGCTGCTGATCCTCCTCCGCTGCGCCGCAGTGATCGGATTCGCATTCCCCCTAAGAAGCTGGACATTTATTACACAGAGACTAATTCACATCATGCTCAATACCCTTTGTCGAACCACTTGAGCTATGACAAATTTTCGGCTAATTATTGTGCCTTCCTTGCAGCTGTGGCTCATAATCCTGAACCTCGTAGTTTTCATGAGGCAATGAAAGATGAGCGGTGGCGCAAGGCCATGATTGCCGAAGTCCATGCCCTCGAAGAAAACAACACTTGGAGTCTTGTGGTTTTGCCTCCCGGCAAACATGTCATCGCGTCGAAGTGGGTCTACAAAATAAAATTCCTTCCCCATGGTTATATTGAGCGTTTTAAAGCTCGACTAGTGGCCAAAGGCTACACTCAAATTGAGGGCGTCGATTTTCATGATACCTTCGCGCCTGTTGCTAAGCTTGTCACTGTTCGCTGTCTGCTTGCGGTTGCTGTTAGTAAAGGCTGGCATATCCATCAGTTGGATGTCAATAATGCCTTCCTCCATGGTGATCTGGATGAGGAGGTATACATGCGCATTCCCCAAGGTTTTGCTGCACCAGGGGATACCAGGGTCTGCAAGTTGCACAAGTCTCTCTATGGTCTTCGTCGGGCTTCGCGCCAGTGGTACCAGAAGTTCACTACTGCTCTTTGTGAGTTAGGTTTTCGGCCATCTCCTGCCGACCACTCCTTGTTTATCTTTCGCCGGGGGAGCATACATGTGGTTGCTCTCATTTATGTGGATGATGTGGTGCTTGCCGGGACTTGCCTTGAGTTTATTTCTCAGGTCAAGAGTTTCCTTCATTCACGGTTCAGCATCAAAGATCTCGGGCCTTTGTGCTATTTTCTTGGTTTAGAAGTGGCCCGCTCGCCAGAAGGGATGGTTCTCAGTCAAAGAAAGTACCTCTTGGACATTCTGCAGGATTCTGGTGTTTTGGGCAGTCGCCCTAGTGCTTTCCCAGTTGAACAAAATCACCACCTCACCCGTCCTGCGCCTGCTGATCATCCTGATCCCGCTGCCTATTGCCGGTTGGTTGGGCAGTTACTCTACTTAACAGTTATTCGCCCGGACATTACTTATGGGGTTAATATCCTCAGTCAGTTCGTTAATGCTCCCTCTCGTGCTCACATGGATGCTGCACATCGCATTCTTCGATACCTCAAGGAGGCCCCTGGGCAGGGTCTTTTCTTCTCTGCATCTAGTTCTCTTGATCTCGTCGCCTATTGTGACGCTGACTGGGGCGGTTGTCAGTCTACTCGTCGCTCCACTACGGGATATGTCGTCACGCTTGGTGGTGCCCCGATCTCTTGGCGCACCAAGAAACAACACGTAGTTGCTCGCTCTTCTGCAACGGCTGAATATCGAGCCATGGCTAGCACAGTTAGTGAAGTTCTCTGGTTACGTTGGCTCTTACGCGAGCTTGGCGTTCCGCAGCCTGGTGCCACTCCTCTTCATTGTGACAACCAAGTTGCCCTTCACATTGTAGCTAATCCGGTTTTTCATGAACGTACCAAGCATGTTGAGATGGACTGCTATTTAATTCAAGAACGAGTTCAATCCGGTGACATTGCTCCATTGAAGATTCATACTAATCTTCAATTGGCCGACATGTTCACCAAAGGTCTTGGCGCAGAGCGCTTCCGGTTTATGCTCTCCAAACTGCGCGTTCGTAATCTCCATGCCACAGCTTGCGGGGGAGTAATGGACATGGGCCAGCATTCACAAACCAAGCCCAATCGTGACACACACAGCAAGCTTGGAGCTGCGGCCCACTCATGTTGTTTATTCACTTGTCCCTGTACTTTTACCCTAGATGACAGTAGAGAAGGGTATAATGATGTACGGCCACAGGCCATAATCAAGTAATCAATAATACAAATTCAGCCTGGAGAGCAAGAGCTCTCCCGTGGACTAGTCCCGTCAATCGGGGATACCACGTAAATCATCGTGTCGTTCTATCGTTTTATCATATTTCTCAATAATAATACTAAAATCTATTTATCTATTGAAGTTTGAGTTTATTCAAGTTCTTAAATGCAACCAGTACTCGCCAGATTATTGGGTCCAAGTCTGAACGATCATTGCTAAAGCGAAGTTATCTATTCAATTTTTTAGCCGGGTGGGGTCCTTGAATCCCTGTCCTCAAACCTTTCCTTTGTCATTGAGCAGGTGGTGGGCTTAATTTGGTCTGCCTATGCAAAGGAGCGTGTAACGGTTGAATTTGTATAAGATCAAATAGATATTTTGATCGAATAAAATTTGATCAAACATATTATAATTTAGTTTCGATTGTACAAATTATCTTTTAAGTAAGAATAAAATGAGGAATCTATTGGACTACCTATTGGTGCTTCCCCTTTCTCTCACTACAAGAAAAAAACGCTTTTTGCAACCCAAAATCACCAAGTTAGCAGGTTGGAAAGGTGGTTTCTATTTTAGGGTGGAAGGGTGACGGAACAATTTTGTTCTAGCGTCTCAGGCTGTATAAACAGGAGCAGATTCGGTAAGTAATCTTGTGGTACTATAACTCATGTATAACTTAATAAGAATCCGCCACATCAGCGTTTCCTTCTTTTACCTCGAAAAATCTTTAATTTTCCTTCCCTTAATCTTTAAAAGACGTTTTTTCACTCGTTTAAACTCGAAATTTAATATTTTCACAGTTAGATCAGATTAATTGTGCTCTTCAAAATGATATCCACTTTGATAGTTTTTGGAACAAATTATTTTCCCCAATTATTACCAGTATATACCATATGGTATTGGCTGGTATTAAATAACAACATACCATATGGTATGAAAAATATCACCCCATACCAGGGTGGTATAGTATGGTATGGAGTTGGTAACGAGAGTTATGAAATATTTCACTCAGAAAAATTTAAAATCCAAATCGTTCCTTCTGTGCAAAAATTTCTGAAAACGGCTAAAAAACGAAGGAGATATCATATGGTATGGAGTTCATAACGAGATCTATGAATTTTTTTCTAAAAAAATATTGAAAATGGATATCATTTTGTAGAGCACAACAAACTCGTTTCATCTGTGCAAAAAAAAAAAAAAATTCCTAGTTAGAATGAAGAAGATATGATCCAATCAAGAAAACTAGATAAAATAAATATCTTTAATTCTCCATCCTTAGATCTGCAACCACTTAAAAGAAGGGTTCAGATTTAATTACTCATAATTATGCACTCTAAGATTATGCACCCTATCTTAAATTGTATACACGAGCTCTTTGTCTAGATCCTAAAATTGTGATTGCAAGTGTACAAAAGCATTTCATTTGTTCTGGATCACATGTACAAAAGAAAATGCATTCGGTCTCGTGGGATTGCTGTAAGGCAGCAAAGCAATTTGGTGACCCCGAAATTCCGGACCTAAGTACACAATGAAGCCCTACTTTGTAAATGGTGGTGGAGGTTCGCAAACGAAAAGAAATCAAAACTCTATCCCGTTTATTCCTCTCCTCCTAATCTCTAAATCCCTAATTCCCAATTCTAAATCACCTAGTTCTGCTCAATTCTCTTCTTTTCTCTTCTCTTCTCTTCTCAACTAATCTAAATCTATTTCTAATCTATTCGGTTACGTTAATCCCAAGTTACCGAAGAATCATAGTTCCTTCATACCCAAGTCTCAAACATCGTTTTGGCATACATATAATTAGAAATGGAATACCGCGTCATGTCGTGGTTTCCGTGAATGAGTTTTATTTAATTGTTTGGACTTTGCTATGGTGACTTGCAAGCCATCGTAATTTAATTTGCACTTTTCGGTCGACCTCAATTAGGATTAGGTCGACCTCAGTTAGGATTATGTCGAGCTAATCTGTTGTTTCAATGTAAAAAAAAGTTTCATGGTTCCTACTTTGGAGATTCATATCTTACAATTGGCTCAATGGAAATTGGAGATTAATAGCTTGTTTTGAATTTGGAGTGTCCCTCTACACATTGAAGTGCTTGGGAGCTCGTAGGAAGTCCAGAAGACCAATTTTGTACTTGATCAAAAGGCTATGCCAAAATTGGGAAAATGCTTGAAAATGGCTTAGTCTGGGAGCGTGTTTGTGAAGCCTTCTTTGGAGCTCAATTCGAGAAGCATGGATGAGAGTCGGGTCCAGTGGAGTCTACCAAATGAAAGTATGTATGTTTGTCTACAAAGGCAAGGCGTTAGATGAAATATTGGATATATGGAACGCTTCAAACAAAAGGCTCGAAGTTGCTACAAGGGCTGTTTTTCTGACAGCTTGCTTGTGCTAGAAGGCTGTTTCTCTGCTTTTTAACTCTTGGTTGTAATCTTTGAATATATTTCACCATTAGATAAAAAAATATTAATAGACTTTATATGAGCTTTGTTGCGTGCCTTCGTCCCATGCAATGAGGTAAGCTGCCTTGCCCCGTTTATAATAAGCATTGGCCCATTTTTAATAGGTAAGATGGAAGCTGCTGGCCCATTTTCAGTCGGTCAATGGTGGAAAATAAAATTTAGCAGATATTAATGTATAATAATTCTATTTCAATACGTCTTTCTCTCTGTCACTCATCTCCTCGACAGTAAAGACTTCTCCAAAATAAAGACTCATATTCTCTCATCTTTGGTTTCCTACTTCTCTTCCGTCATCGAGATGATGGACAACAATTAACAGCCATGGAGAAGAACATTCTCCACAAGAATTGGACATGGAAAACTCAAATCTCCAATCCCGATGACTCTTAACTCCTAAGCTACGCTTCCTCTTCCTCTTCCTCTTTATTAGTTGTACCGCCTCCTTACCTGTCACTATAGTGGCCTCCATCCATCAGTCTGTCACTCTGTAACTCCGTTTCTCATCTTCTTGTCCATTAAAAATGGGCCTAACTTGTTTTCTCACAAAAGCTTACTTGTTCGAATATACTTGGATCTCTAGTAGCTGCCATTATTGCTGCTACAGTTGGCTTTCATTTTAAAATTCTTTCATTGCATGCAGAATCTCTCTACCAGGGGTAGCATAGTTGGTTTGAAAAAGACCTAATAGTGGATGATTCGGGGTTTAATGGCACATGTTTTGCCCCCGTTTTACTTAGATGTTTGGGGCAAATTCGCTCCTTAAAGGTTGGTTTT